TCACCAATCTTTGGAACAAAGAAACAACAAAAAAGGAGACAGACAGAACTCCCATTTGGAAAGATGCAGCTAACTAGAATCTGACATTCATTGATTTTTGGTCTGCATGCAGATACATTGTCTGTCTCCCACTTCTTTGGTTGAGCGAGCCAGCAGGTAGCTTTTGGTCCCATGTGTTTGGGTACGGCTCCTTAGGGTTAGCTCACAGTGGAGACTGCCTTGTACCCTGTTGAGTAGTTTTCTGTTCTCCCGAGTCTGATACGAGACAGACAGTAGTTACATAAATGTGAGGCTAGCTAGACATGGTTTCCATTGGTGATGAGCTAAGACAGACAGACAGACAGACAGACTCATTTCAGAGTCTGGCCAAGTGAATGAGTGAGTGGCCCCAAACTGCAAACTCAGAGAGCTAGCTTTTGAACAGAGAATCACAGAAAAGACATCCCATTGGAAATGAGATTTTGCTAGACTCTGACATTGATTTTGGGTCCACAGACACCACATCCCTCTCCCTGCTGCTTGTTTGGTCAAGTGGAGGGAGGGAGCTGTTTGATATTTTTCTCTCCCAGGGGTTGGCGGCTCATCCAGCTAATTCTGTTTTTCTCACAGGACTCACGAAGACCCTGAGTGATGTTCCATTATTCCCTCCTCCCAGGTGGGGTCCAGAAATGGGATGTTGGATTGCTCAGCACAGGGCTCAAGAGAGATTGTGTTGGAGATGCCAAGCCACAAAATCAAGGACCGGAGCCTAGGAAATGGAAGGAGGAAAAAGCATGAGGGCCAGGCAGAAAAGAGCGGAGGCGTAAGAAAGGAGCCTCTGTCACTTTCCTGTGGCTTTGGAGGTGAAGTGAGGGAGGCCAGCAACCAAAAGCACAAGAACTGCAGCTCTGCTTCCTTCCATGGGGCCCTCCTGGTGGGACCAGCCATGGGTGGGAGAGTGGCGCTAGGCCAACCATTGTCTCGGCCTGCCCGACCCTCACTCAGGAGCCCTGAAATGTGACCCTAAACCCTAAAACCCTAACCTTAACCCTAACCCTATCACTGATCCAGAGGTGAAACAAAGATTGTCATGCGACCTAGGCAGGGACTCCTAGGCCACTGCTCCTTCATGGAGGCTGAGCCATAGATGCGGGTGTAGTCTGCTGAGTGAGCTGCTGGGCTCCTTCAAGACTCAGGGGAACAAGTCTCAGAAGGCTCTGTCCCAGAAGCTGCTGGGATGCATGGGCTGGCCCTGGTCCCACTGTCCTTAGATGGATTCCTTGTCACAATTGTCCCAGAAGCCAAGGCCAGTGGAGAAAACAGGAATTTGAGGATCCACTTCCAGGTCCACCGGGTTTCCTGTGGGGACTCTACGTGTTGCAACCAGCTGTGGACTGGTATGGGCACAGTTCCCAAGCCAAAGCTCCTTGGAGAGGCAAAAGAAAGCTTTTTCTTTTTGCTCTGAAGGCCCACTTTCTAAGCATTTCCATCACACACAAACATACCCGAGCAAAACTGTTCCTGAAAGTTCTCTGTCCTTGATCCAGCCTACCACAGGGCTGCCCATGCCACCAAGGATAGCTCAGAAAAGGATCCCCAGTCCTGCCTGATCTCCTAGGACAACTTAGACCTTGGCACTCCAGACAGCGGTGAGCTTCCGAGGTGTACACAACAGGTGTGTAGGTGGGGTGCATACAGACCCAAGCTTCACAGCCACCTTTGCAGAGAGGCAGATGGCCAAGGGCCTGGCTGGACCATCAGCACTATTCTGTGTCACCCTGCTACAAAGAAATCTTCCCTGACCATCTCAGTGACCTTCATAACCTTGGAGGTGGCAAAGCTTCTGAAATCTTCCATATTTGAGCCAGAATTACCCAGTGGAAGCAAGATCTAAGTGTCAGGGTTCATTACAGACTCCTGTTGTGAGCTCTGGGCATTCAGAGGGACAGACAGGTCTACAGTGGGCTTTGAGCGCTTTCAGTATGGGAAAAATCAGCTTCATTTCAGCCTGAAACAGGGAAATGAAGCACAGAATACACATAGAGAGTGTACTCAGAAAAAAGGAAAGTGTAGGAAGGCGAAGGAAGTGATGGCAATTGCCATGGGGAATGGGTACGTGAAACATAGCTTTTAGAAGGGTTTTTATGGAGCTTCATTGTGTAATGCAAACCCTCTTATTTTCTTGGAAAATATCTTCAGCAAAAGTGACTCCATTTGGAGTTATTTGGTTTTTATTAAAAGTAAAAATATTTTGAGATTGGCCTTAGGTGGAAAGTAGGGCCACCCACAAAACAGCTATTTCATTCATTTGTCCAAAAACATCTGAGCACATATCTCATGCCAGGCATTACTGTAAACATTAATTTTTGAATCCTCATTCCATACAGATGTTCCCACAATGGCTAATGTGGCAGGTACTATTTCTTGTTGGTGAAGTCCAAAAGCCTTTTCCTATTAACTTAGTGGTTCCCAAAGGCCAATCTGCATACAAATATGCAAAATTTCAAGCCCACTCCCAGAGATTGTGACTTTAGGTATGGGGTGAAACACTAAATCTTTATTTCAAATAGGCACTCTGGTGAATTTTGAAACAACTCTGGGCTCTGAGAAATCTACTTTAGGAAATATTACCTCAACTTGTTAAAAATGATCTTAAGCCTAGGTTGTTGTGGAGGGTAACATGTGTGTGCAGGAGGGCAATGCCAGAGGAATGCACAAAACTCAGGACAAGAATGAGGGAGTGGGGTGTGGGAGCACACTTGTAACCTAGCGACTTGGACAGCTGAGACAAGAGGCAAGCAAGTTTGATGCCAGGCTGCATAATTTAGCAAGACCCTGTCTCAAAAAGTGAAAAGGGCTGAAACAGTAGCTCAATCATAGAGCACCCCTGGGTTTGCTCCAGGTAGTGGGAAAAAAAATGTCTTTACATGTGTATTATTGCTTGTTTTTCCTTTAGGGCAAGTTTTGTGTACATTGTATCTAAACCCTAACTTTCATGCTTTTGGACACTTACAGAAGGCATGGGTCTTCCTGAGGTGGACAGTATAGGACTCAAGTTCTGATCAAGATTATTTTACCCATAGGATAAGAAAAAGTAAAGACTTTAGGCCCACCACAGATAGTCTCCCTTTCCTGGCAGTTTCTCCTTTGGAAGACAGCATGTTCCCGTGGCCTGAACCACTGTAGTACATGCATGACTGTCCACTCAGGTGGCTTGTGTCATTTATAGTACAAATGAATCTAATCCACTTTTTGGTTTTTTTACTAATAAAATTAGTTTTAAAAAGTCTTGCAATGGGACAGTGATGCATGTACCACTGGTGGTTCAAGCTGCCTGGCAATGAAACATACAAATTACAACCCTGTTGTGAACATGTTAAAAGCCATCCTGGGTTTATGAGTTTGTTAATGTTTTGGTAAAAAGCCTAGTCAAAATCCATCTTTCCATCATTCCCAAACAAAGCAATTGGGTTGATCATTAAACCAGTGCATCCCTAGCTGAGTCTGAAATTTGATCCAAGAACTCTCATTTAGTATTAGATGGCCACGTGCTTCAGGTGATGCCAGCCCAGTGATTTAAGTCAGTTGCCAGGTAACAGCTTAGTAATAGACAGATGAAAGCCATGGCCAATGACATGTGAAGGTACCTTGCTTATTTAATTTAGGATGCTTCTGTGAGGCCTCCCTGGCTCTGTAAGAGAAAGGTGAACAAGATGGGAGTTTTGTTTTGTTTTGCCATACAGTAAATCACACCCAAGGCCTCATATGTGTTAGGCAAGTGATGTGTTGAGCTGCGCTGCAAACCCTACCCTGTGATTTCTCGCTTCCTGGCCTTTGTGCTGTGAAGACTTGATGCTTAGGTTACCTGCAGTCACCTAGCATCTCTGAGAAAACAGGACCAGGCACAAAGTAAGAGAACAGAGTCCTTGATGTTTCTGAGATTCTAAATAACTTCCCTGAGGAAGGTAGCTTATGTCTTCATGTTACAAGAGTAACTAATTTTCATTATTGAGACCATCTTGCCTGTGCCTTCTGTGGCATGAAGTCATTAATAAAGCTGTCACATCACCTACTTGCTCTTCTGTATTCTGAGAAACATGCTCTATGGTCTGGGGAAGAAGAAACCCTGGACAGAGGGTTTCTAAGTAACTTACTACTCTTGTTTTTGGCTAAGACACAATCAGCTTTATGTCCATTAGCTATAAAATAATGTCTTACAATAGAATAGTTGAAAGAGACAAAATGAATCATGTCAGGGAAAGCACTTTATATGCAAGTTCTTTATATCACTAGATGCTTTTTAAAGTTGAATTCAGTCTCCAAGTTTGCTTGAATGTCCACATCCTCACATGATGGCTTTTACTGTTCTGTGTTACAATACCACTGCTGAAATGACCCAAGTGAGGGAATTGCTGAGCAACAGCTGGGTCGACGGGGTCTACTGACTGCCTCCTCTGAGCTCGGGGGAAAAGACATCAGTTTTCAGCGTTTGCCATGGTAGTGCTAGCTGAGTCACTTGTATCTTTGTACTATACATTTTTGTTTTGGTCTTTTTGAGACAGAGTTTCACTATGCAGTTCATGCTAGCCTTGAAGTCACTTTGTAGCCTAGGCTGCCCATGAAGTCAGAGCAATCCTCCTGCCTCAATCAAATACTGGGATTACAGGCATATGTACCTGGCCTATCTCTATAAGGCATTTTCAACTTACTGCTTGTTAACTTTTTGACTTTGTGGTCTAGTTCTATATAAGCTCTGTGCTCGGCAAGTACTTGAAATTGTGACTTCCAGTTCATGTAGCCCTATGTTCTTAGGTGCAGTTTTGAACATTTTATAAATTTGTTCCACTGTCTTGCTTGTTTAAATGCAACACAACTGATACTTCAAACTTTTATTTTGCTCTTGATATGATCTTCAAAGTAAGATGGTTATTTAATAATTTGCATTCACAAAATAGTCCATCTCAAGTTTTGGGTAATACCTATCTCAAAACTCAAAATCAAAAAAACCTTGCCAACAGAAATTTTGTAAATAAAGTTTTTATTCTTGTCTTACCTTCAATGAAAAAATGCTCACACCACCAAAACAATTTTGGAAACGTTGAACTCAACAGCCTAATGATTACTTCTCTAGACAACTGCTGGATTATACTGCTTTTTAAAAAATAAGACATTTTTATTACTTTATTCCTCTTTAAAGCAGAAACATCCCCTCACATTGTCACAAAAAATCTAAAGTATCACTTAATAGTCTCAAGTGTCTTGTATTTATATTTGTTCTAAATGTTTGTTTCATTGATATTTTTCAGGAATAAGTGCACTTCTAAGAGAAAATAAAATTTAAATAATAGCAAAACAGTCATTTTGAATGTTCTGAATTTTTAACAATTCAGAGAAAATATTCTAGTAGCAAGGTATCTCTATGGATTAAAATCTCAACTTTTCATCTACTCGTAGACCATTGAAAGATAGAAGCTATTTCTTTTACCAGTAGAGACTAATTACTTAGAGGTTTTCTACACTAAAACACCAAAAATAAATGTACATAAAAGTATTTTAAAATTTGCAGATTTATACAAGGAAATGCAATAGGATACCATTATGGAAATAAATGAAACTCTATTATAAGCTTCAGTGAGGATTTCACATTTGGTATTTTTCCATTAAACTAATTAGCTTATTAGATTAGCTACATATTTAAAGTAGCTGGTTTAAAAGCAATTCTGCATTTCCAGAGAACACAATGCTTTAACACATTTGAAGATTTAAAGCTATGGCAATAACAAATGCATAAAAGAAAAAGATAATTTGCTTTAATACAAAATTTTTTAATAAAAAAGTCAGTCTACATTGAATCAGGAAACCAATAAATCTGAATTAAACAAGCTTTCTACATACTTAGAAAAACAAAAACACAGCTTATATTAAAATTTTTTTAATTCAAAATAGTCTAATTTAAAGAAAATGTCAATATGCCCAGTTGATTACATAGGCTTTTGTCATTTCAATTAAATAATTCACCTGAAATATGGGAAATTTATAATAGATAAAAGTAAACCTTAAAGGTAACTTGCAAATCACCTGGTTAATGTGCATCTTGAATCAAATATTAGCTTCCAAGGGCAGATACAGTCTGTCACTGCTTTTACATAGGCACTTAAGAAATGCTTTTGATGGGAGAAATTCCTAAAGATGCAGATCACTCTATTAACTCCCAGGAAGAATTAAGACTCTAAACGAACCTTCCACAGTTTCCCTCCCACTGCCCAAAAAAAAAAATCATACCCATTTCCAAGTACTTTCTAATAACACTGAGGAAAGTAGAACTAAAATGCTCCATTCCTTATGTAATTGAAAAGTAAACTCGAATAATTCAGCCCCTTTATACTAATCTTAAGCTCTCCCAGTCCTTCTGCATCAATGATATTTTCTGTACTAGAACAGCTATCATAGTTGAACTAGAGAATGTTGCAATTTCTTCATATCTTACCTATTATGGCAATAGCAAAGCAGTTGGTTTAAAAGACAAAGTAAATTTACATAACAAACAGTCATTTTGAATGTGTCCAATAGTCAGGGAGCTCCATTAATTAAAATTTCTCTTAAACATGGGAGGAGATGGAGCAAGAAAATTTCATAAACCCCAGGAGAAGTTAAAGATTTTTTTTAATTAAAGGCAGTTAGGGTTAGGAGAATCAAATTGAGATAACCTAGTTTTCTTAGTTCCTAAATACACAGCCACATGATCCAGACTGAAAAATGGAGACGAACACAAAGTAAGGACACAACAGATACTTGAAGCAATCATAAGGAAGGGACACCCTGTAGCCTCAGTGATACACTATGGCATTACCCAGTGTAACATTTATACAAGCTCCTGTAGCTCTGTACCATACTCCTAGGTAACCCGCACCCTAGGAAGATATTGCTACAAATGAAGCATCATTGTAGGTTTGGATCATAGACCAACTATAATTCTATTAATTAACATTAAGACAGAAATTAGGCCAATCTTCAATAAAGTATAATTCCTTGACTGTAACTTATGAACTCCAAATCTTAGAAAACTGTTTTAGAATTTAATGTCATTGAGCAAGAAAAGATTATTTCTTGGGAAATAGCCAAAGACTTCGATGCTGATATCATTCCCCCTCCTCCGCCCTATCTCCTAATCACACCGTCTGGGCTGCATGAACTTTCTTAATTCCATTGGTACCAACTACAGTGATGCAGCCACAGGACAGCACTGCCTAGACAGGTGGACTTCCATCAAAGACCAGTCCCATCTGGACACAGCATTCCCATAGGAGAGGACAATTCCACCCAGCTGTGAACATTTATTCTGTCCAGGATCTTTGGTACATTTGAGGCAGAAGAAAATAATGGCACAATAATATAAGTACTATCAAAGGAAAAATTTTCACCAAAGAAATAAAAACTATCCAGGCATGATATGTAGCAACTTTCTAGAAAACCAAAGTAAACAGTTCTTTGTTCTTACAAGTTCATTTACATGATCAAGTTCAACATTTAAAAATATAGCTTAATAAAAATACACTGGGTTCTAAAAGCAGCCTTCATGGTCACTTCTGAATTTCAATTCACCATAATCAAATTAAAATAATGCCATGTCTTGTTAAAAAAAAAAAGTCCTATCACAAAGCAATTTTAACATTTTATGCAATACAGTACATCTCCCTATGACTACACAGACTGTATATCATCAGTATTCCCGAATGCAAAATAAAAAGCCTTAATGGAAACATTTCACTCCTTACTGTGCAATTTGCGTAGTAACTTGATGATAAATTCTATTTTTAAAGAACCAGTGTATTTCTTTTTGAATTCTTTAAAAGCATTATAGAAATTATCCCCAGGTTTTCTACAGGTGTCCAAACCAAAAGGGCAAAAGTTCTAATGCCAGCTGTGGAAGATGGCTTTTACTGATGTATCTAGACCCATAAGATTTACAGGGAAACTGTAAAGCTGCCTACAGCTGTCCTACACTGTGGGAGCAGTTTGTGTCTCTCCTGAGTCGATCAGAGGAGTCCCAGTCCAAAGCCAGAGCACACAGAGGCAGGATGGACTTCACTATGCCAGCAGGCAGTGCAGTCAGACAAGGATGTACGTTTCTTTTATTCCAGTACCTTCATATAATAAAGTTAACAAAAATAATAAAAATATTTTTTAAATGCCAGCTGGCACTGCCAACCGTTCCTACAGTAGTCTTAGGAGACCCTAGTCCTGCAGAATTTCTTCTGTCATCAGTGAGCACCACCGTCCTCAGGAGACTTCAGGATCTGGGGATCTGTGCTGAGCAGGCCTGGGGTGCAGCTACCTGAGTGCTCACAGTTGTGGGCGCAGTAGATCTCACTCACAATTTCCCGGCTTTCATGTAGGTAGGGATAGAGCCACGCTGCGTCAACCCTTCAAACCTCTTATAGGTATAATTGAGAAAAACCCAGTCTTTGGATTTGTAGTCTGGTTCTGTGGTATTTGGCACTAGAAAAACAGAGAAATTAACCAAAAGCAAAATAATCTCATTAGTGTAATGACATCATTTTCATAGACTTTTAATAGTGTGAGTCACATTACAGAACTGTCTTACCTGGCTGTAAGATATCAGACTCAGGGAAGTCATCAAAATTCGAAGTATCATCAATGCTTTTGATTTCTATTGGGATTGCTGCTGGCCTTTCCCTGTGAAACAAGCATTGAGAAACCAGTAAAATTCAATTTTTCAACGAATCTTCTTGCAAATTTTTCATTTTATTTTATAGATTTCAGAAAGGCCAATGACATTGTGTATTTTAGAACAGTTAAGTGGATTTTAAAATAGGTATAATTTTTTACTAAAATGTTTTCATTTACTTGAATTTTTCATATTTTTGTGCCAAGACTGTCTCACGCTGTTTTGTATGTGGAAAAATACAAACTGATGAAGAGTGAAACAGAAGAGATTTTATTTGAAATACTTTGTAAAGCATAAGGATTGGGTCCTATGCCTTAAGACTAAGAAATTTAGGACTAGAACTATTCTAATAGAAGATTTATCAATCCAGAGTCATTTGGGAAAATGAGGACATAAAAGACGAAATCTAAATACAGAATCTTCTCAGTCATATAATTTTTTTACTAAAATTATTCCAACTTATTTACACTTTATATGTTAACTTAATAAATGAAGTAGAAAGCACCAAAGACTTTGGGTCTCTGAGATCTAACCTTTCTCATCATTAACTAGCACTACAAACTGAGGCAGGCAAAATCTCTGCTGTATCTGTCACCTCATTATGAAACCAAAAGACTGGACTAGTAGTCTCCATGCATCCTTCCAACTATACAAGGAAGGGTTAGCAGTCAGGTATAGCGGCCCATGCCTATAATCCTAGCACTCTGTTAGGCTGAAGCTGGAGAATCTCAAGTTGGAACCCAACCTGGCAAATTATTGAGACCTTGTCTCAAAAACTAAACAGGGAAAGGAATGTAGTTTAGTACAAAGGCTCTGACTTCAATCACTAGCACCACAAAAAGGAAAAAAGTGAGGAGGGGATCATACTTCTCTTTAATGAGATGAAGCATGAACAGCAGCAGTTCAGAGTCACAGCTCCAAGGCCCAGGGATGTATCTCAGTGTTAGGGCATGCACAAGGGCCTGGGTTCAATTTCTACCACAAAATACACACTAAGAAGGTTTAGGGTTCCAGAGTCATGCTGCCTGAGTCTAATACCAACTCTTTCATTTACTTAGTTGCCTATAGGCAAATCACAATGGTATCTCAGATCATAAACTTGATTCTTCCCACAATTCTGGTCACAAACTGAGATAGACAGGAACTGGATCAAATTCAATGATTAGGTTCAATGTTGACCTTATGGGGAAATTTGATTCAGTTCTTGTCCAATTCAATTTATGATCAGAACTGTGAAGATAATTGAGCTCATGAACTGAGGCACCAACGTACTTCTCTATGCCTTAAATTTCCTCATCTATAAAGGTTTCTAGCTCAAAGGATTTATCATGAGGATAAGAGGAGAAATGAGAGGTAAGTATAAAAGGGCTGGACACACACACAATCAATGATCAAAACATCAAAGCTCTTGTAACAGGTGGGATCACAGGATGAGATCTCAGAAAGTTCCACACTGAGGAAGTGACACGAGGTACTGAGAAGGGGCAGTGAGGCAGAGGAAAGAACCAGCCAGGCGAGAGAGACGCACTCCAGCCGCAGTGAGTGACAGACCAAAGAACTCTGACATGCCACACGTCCAGGTGTGGCAATATTCCCTGCAAGCCCATCAAGGGCTCTTAGTGCAAAAGGAAGGAGGGAACAAGGCACCATCAGACTCGTGTTTCCCAAGTGCTCTGTGAAAATACTGGACTACAGAGGCAGTGTGGCCACAAACTGAAAATGATAAGCAAATCTTAAGTGTTGCTTTATTATTAACCCAAGATGAGTTATTTTGCTGTAGCCAGTGGCTTCAAAACACTGTCTGCATAGTGCAACAGTGCTAGCTCCCATGCGTGAGCCATCAGACTCAGATAAAGTAATTGCTTACGCTGTACACTCCTTTTCCTCAGCCTTCCCATTCCAATCCTAGGAACATACCTTATGTGTCCCCAGTCCACACCTTCAAAAAAGGGATGGTCTTTTATTTCTTCCACTCCACTATTCCCAATTCTATTTTCAGAATCAATACAAAATCTAAACAAGGAAAGGAAACAAATTACCATCCACAAGTCGCAATCACCCCAAGTACTGCTAGTCACGTCATTTCAAATGTTTTAGTTCTTTAAAACATTACATTTTTCTGTTGACTGAACTTAACTGTGTTCACAGTGGAAAATGCAGGTGAAAATTGAAGTCATCTCTACATTATTTAGGGGTAGTACTGTAAATATTCTGAACCTATCTCCTAATTTCTTTACTCTTTCAGGGATACTTTTCCTAACACACAGAAAATTTCTCAGTTAAATAGTTTTCTAAAATTTGTCTACAGAGATACTATCATTTATTTAGCAGGTCCACTATTTTTTAATGTTTAGATGCTTTCCAGTTTTTCACAACTAAAATAATACTATGATAAACATACTAAATCATTTTATATATCTGATTATCTGCACAAGCAAAATTCCTACAAGCAGAATTGCTGGGTCACAAGTCACATCCACTTTAAATATTTTCTTTAACATGCTTCCAACCAATTGTCCCAACTTATATTTCTTTCAGCCACTCAGAACAACACCAAAACACTGCACTCTGCTGGGGAGCACAGTGCAGCCACCTGCTCGGGAGATTTTGGACACAGACTTTTAGGACACAAGCTCTTTTCCCTTCTCCCTTTAATGGGGCTGGGTTACCACATTCTAACAAACATGACATTTTGCCTTTAATTTACATCAGTACCCAAAATAACACCAGGCCTTTTCCTGCTTTTTAATTATTTTTTCCTGCAAATGTCCTTTTTAGGAATTTACATGTTTTAAAACACCTTTCTTTATTGATCTCTCTTTGGCCAGCTGGATAAGTGATTTTTTTTCACGCCTCACAAAAATAAAATGGATCAGTAGGCCAGAGATACAGCTCAGCGGTACAAGTACCTACCTGGCAAGTGTGAGGTTGTAAGTTCAATCCCTGGTACAAAAACCAAAACAAAAGGGAGGAAGGAGGGAAAGGGAAAGAGAGGGAGAGAGAGGGAAAAAAAGAGAGAGAGACAGAAAGAGAAAACAAGAGAGAAAGAAGTAGTCTGGAAGTTTTCGGATGCCTGCCTTCCTCTGGAATTTAACCACTAACCTGAGAATTAAGTCCTTGGCTTTCTCAGAGATAGGTACTTCTGGAGGAAATACCAGAGTTTCTTTCCAGTTCATCACTTTTCTGTACGTTTCCTGAGGAGTTTCAGAGCAGAAAGGTGGATAGCCTATATATCAGAGAAAATAAAAACTTCGTTATTGTACATTACTGATCAAATTATACCTACTAAATATGTGCCATGGAAACAAAGCAACCTGCTGCATGCTCTATTTATAAACAGTATAATAATCCTACCATTTATTAATTTACAACAAAACTGCTACTAAAATCAATAAAACAAAGGACTTCCCTGCTCCCTGTTTCCTCTGAGGAGACCCATTGGTGCAACCTGGGTGCATGGTGGCTCAGATTTCTGCAATAGGACCCCTAGAGAACTTTAGCACTCAGGAACCTTAGCAATAAGTTTAAAACAGTTCAGCTATTTTAGCCCATGAGGTCTGTAATATGTTAGACAATGGCACTCTTGAGAAGATATATTTATTATGTGCATAAGTTAATGACAGGACATACCTATTAACATTTCATACATAATCACTCCCAGGGACCACCAGTCACACAGTTTATTGTAACCAGTCTGCATGAAGACTTCCGGAGCAATGTAATCTGGTGTTCCAACTGTGGAATATGCCTACAAGAGAACACATGTCAAGCCATTATCTTTAACATTTTTTAAAAATGTGAACATCATTTACTACTGGAAAAGGCAATATATAAAAGAGTTTAATTTTTAATGGAATCCTTATTTTGCATGTTTATCATGTGATAGATACTGAGTCTGATAATATGTTAAAAGAATACATGATTTCTGCCCACTAGAAACTCTTCTAAGTCATTTGTATATGAAATCCTCTCTGCTCTCTTGGGAAATGCTGAATAAGTTAGATAGGGTAGCTGATGGCCAGGGGGCCAAGAACCCAGGCGTGAGTCTACACTGGAAATACCCTGTACAGAGGGGTACATAATTCCCTTGCTATACTTTTAAGCAATATTCACTATTTTTCCTTTTACAAGTAGAGAATATAGCAATTGTTCTCTCAATTGTAAAATCGGATCTAAAGTGACACATTTAAAAGCAGAATGAAGTTTTTCTCCTTAGTGCTTAATAAATAGATATTATGTATAGTTAATAAATTTTACAAACATTAAAATGTTTACAAATTCTGCTGTTCCTTGGCATAGGCAGAGAATGACTTCAGTAATGCACAGGTTGCTTATTTGGTTTTAGAGGGTGTTAAGACTATTATTTTTCATACAATTTACCCCCTGGAGGAATGGTGAATTAGTGTCCCTTTTCATCACTTGGCCAAGTATCGAAATATTTATAAATTGTGTATCTATAACAAGCACTGTATACATGACTAGGAAAATGAAGTTTAAAGGTACACTCTTAATCTTAAAAATGCTCATGGTCCTAGTTAACAAGTTAAAGGGAAAGAAGAAAGAGGGAAAACAATTTTTATACTTGCTAATAAAAGGGAAATAGCATGGGGTTAAAAACAGTCATGTAATTCTACACTAAAGGAGTAATCAAGTTTACCTGTCTAAAATTTTGTATCTATTTTATCGTAACATTGCTGACATCTCAACTTCCTCTTTACATGGTCTGCAAAGAAGCTGTTAGAAACTCACTGCTTTACTTATTGTTTGGCATTTGTTATAGCAGGATTTATACATCCCAGGCACAGAAAATAAAAATTAGAAGTCACAAGCCATTCACTATAGCTAGATTCATCTCAATGAACTGCATTTAAAGAGCTAATTTCTACTGAACAGATAGATTTCTTATTCAGAGCACATTACTTACATTGTATCTTACTTCTTCAAGGTATGATCAATAAAGTACCCTAAAGTTAAATCGTAAGTAAAAACTGACCATTTGCTGTATAGGCAAGGTAACTATAAAGAGAGAGTAAGACTATGGTATCATCTCAGAAATGTACTGTAACACATGTATCAGCAAAGATAAGACCCTACATGTGTATAAAGTTATGTACTATTTTTTTTTGGGGGGGGGTTGTTTTGTTTTGTTACCAGAGAAGGTTACACACTGTTATGTATAAAACACAAAATCTTTTACAAAGTGGAGGACTCACCAGCTGCCTCCGGTTCTTCTTCCAGGTTTCTGCTTTCCTCTTTGAGTTCATGTTCTGAAATGCTAGTATCAACAGAAAGAATGGTAACCTTGAGGGAAGAATTTGCCTGAAGATAAAAATCACACATTTCCATCTGAAGCACATCAGTAAATTTAGAGAATCAGGAAAGAGCAGGCGAGAATCTTTAGTTCTTACCAGAACTGAACTAAACAAACTATAATATTTTAATAAGGAAAAAAACTGCAAACTTACAGAAGTCACTTGGTGGGTTGTGAGTAAGGTTTCTGTAGAATTCAGTTCTATGAGCTTTCTTTAATCCTGTGCATAAACCAAAATCAGACAATTTTACATGTCCCTAGAAAAAAAAATGACAGTAAAATCAGATTATTTATGTATGATAAATACTGTGAAATATGAGTACATGGTTCAAATGGGAAGGGGATCTAGGGAGGGGGAGGGATAAAAGAAGGGAAAAGAACAAAATGAGAAAAGAAGTATAAAATGGAAACAAAGCTTTTGTAAAATAAGGAAGGAAACATGGGTTGAGGGAGGGGAGGGGAATGGGAAAAGAGAAATTAGCATTTATCATGCACAGGTATAAACTCACTAGGATGAATGTGATCATTATGTGTATCTAAATGGGACCAATAAAATTAATTTTTAAAATCAGATTATTTTAATTTTGATAACCAAAATCTTTTATTACAAACTCCTCTTTCAAATACAACTAGGAATTCTTAGCTTGGAATTCCTAAGAATTATAAGCATTTTAGGGTGATGACTCTGAAAGCAGAAAATGCAAGGGGATAAAGGCAGCCACATCCCCCTATCATGCTGTTCCAGGATCCTCTCCCACTGTACCAGTCTATGAAATACTGTAGTTTAGCAAAAAACAATATGAACTGTAGTTATCCATTTCCAATCATAGAATCAGCTCTCTATTAGTCTCTATAAATAAAAAAACATAACAATTCCTTAGTTTATTTACATGCCTTGGCATCCAATAAAAGGTTGTCTGGCTTAATATCTCGATGGATGAAACCCAACTGGTGGATTGCATCTATGGCCAGAACCGTCTCTGAAATGTAGAACTGTGTTTCCTCTTCCGTCAAGGTATCCTTCTTCATTAACAAGGTCATCATGTCACCTATGTAAAAGAAACATCATGTTACTAAAGTGTTCCCAAGGCAGAATATGCTGTGCAAACCTTCTCTGTGTTTGTGCAACAAACGTTTGATTTGGCATGTTATTGTGATCCACCCAATATAACACTAACCATCTCTAGGTCCAGATAAATATAAACATCACTGCACAAGCAAAAGTTTCATGACGTTGACAGCTTTAGGGTAAAAATAAGCTGGAAAGACACACAGCAAACCAAATCTATCAATCATTGCTCAGCTAAAAGGTAAAATATAGATTAGAGATTTTGGTATATTTTTACAAATCATGTAAATGTATCAAACTGTGTGATTCTACAGTGTGCTTCATTTCACTTCACTTTGAGTCACACAGACATAGATATACACATAGATATAGATCCACAGACACAAAATGACTTAATAGCTGTAAAGTATTTCATACTGATAGGTACTGGTCTATACCAGTTTTTCACTGTCAGTGCTGCAATGAGCATCCTCTTAGCACTGTGAGGAGTCTCCAGGCAACACAGCTGGACAGGCAGGTGCTACACCATAGGACACAAGTTTTTTAGCCTCATAAGACCTCTCTGTTGGACTCCATGAAAGCTAAGATCTGTCTACAAGAGGCCAGTGTTCCTCCACCACTCAACATCATCAGCCTTCAAGGGATCTGAGAATCTGCGAAGTGTGAAATATCTCAATCTTCTTTTGATTTGCACTTCTCTGAATATCAATGAAACTGAACACTGTCCATCATTTGTGCTTTGTTTTTTAGCTGGGTTTTTTTTTTTTTTTTTTTTTGGTAGTCCTGAAAATAGGAAGATTGAATGTAGGGGTGCTCTACCATTGAGCTATACTGCTAGCCTCATCCTCTTGAGTAGTTGGAATTATAGGTATGTCCCACCATGCTTGGCTACCCATTAAGTTTTTGCCTTTTTGTTTACTGATTTTTTTTTAACTCCACACTTATATGTAGTCTAACTGGTTAAAGTAAACCCAAATGGTATTATCTAAAATTGGCCATACTAATCACTCTTTCAAGATAATATGGACATTATTATGGAAATAAACACCAAAAACCTGTCAGTATGTAAAACCTCAGAGTTAGGCATATAAAAGTAAACCAAATCAACAGTTATGTGAGGTCAGTCTGTCATTGCTATAATGTTTTCTTTTACCTCCAGGGAGAAATTCCATGATTAGATAAAGGTTCCTCTTATCCTGAAAACTGTAAAACATCTTCACCACCCAGGCACCATCTGCTTCTACCAAAATATCTCTTTCTGCTCGAATATGTGCCACCTAGATGAATATATTTAAAGAAAAAATAGTGTAATTACACATTTTTCAAGCTTATCTCTAACAATTATCCATCCGTAACAGGAAAGTTTTTCATAAAAGATGTGAAACACAGGCATGTTCATATTCTCATTAAATTGGGAAAGCTCAGGAAACTGTTTACTTTAGCTTTTATATTTAAGCTTGAAAAGTTGAGATCAGTAGGTATACTGCAGGAAGACATGGCCTTTGAGGCAGGATAATTACAAGTCAGCTCTCTAACCCGGATCTCCTTCTAGTAAAGATTTGTGATATAAATTTAGGACCCCAGTCTGATTTAAAAGTAACACACAATGCTCTATAGTTTAGCATAACAATGCCAACTTTGTGAAACAGAGCAAACTACTTTTAGATAACTAAACAAAAGCATCCAGTTTACATAGTTTTTAAAAAGTAGGACCATTTATAGTAACTACAGTATTTGAAGTTACTGTTACAACGTAAACCTCTGTAATATAAATAAACAAATGTTAGCTACAGCAAAATAAGTTTTTGAGTACACCTCTATAATATATACAAACATTAGCTATAGCAAATTAATGTAAGTTTTGAGGTTTTGGTTCTACTTTATCAAACACATAACTGCTAGGGATACTATTATGAGAACACTTTACAATTTTATAAACTGAGTAACTTATGGGGCATAACTGGTTAGTTTTCAGATGCTTTTGTATGAATATAGTTATATGTTCTTTCTTCAAAGATGTCAACAAAATTTGTTTTTATGCTTCATTATTTTCATCATACATTACAAACTCTGGCCCAAAGCATGTGAGCACACATACTTGGACATCATTTGTGGATAATAAAATCTGATCTCAAGGTACCACTTTGGGGATTACTCTACTATTGCCTGCTGCAGTAAATGTTCAGAGATGACAGTATAAGATGAAGGAGTAAGAACTTGCTTTCCAGCATCAAAAAACTTTACAATTAGGGATAGAGATTTAGCTCAGTAGCATAAGTGCCTGCCTGGCAAGCATAAGGTCATGAGTTCGATCCCCAGTATTAAAAAAAATTTTTATAATCTCTCTGGATGTTTTGTTAAGTGAAAAATGCTAACAAAAATTCTTTCCTATTGTTTTTGCAACAGTTTTTGCAGTGTAAACAACAAACTCTGAACTTTTTAGGTTAATATCACAAACTTGTCCTGATTGCTTCTAAATATCTTAATAACAGACTGGAAGTTGTGTTTCCAAAATGGGATCCAAAGGCTGAGAAGGATGACGTGCATAATATGGTACCACAACAGGTACTAGTTAATTCTGTGTTTAGCCTTAGAACACATGAGATAAAATACAGGTGTATTAAAATTGAGTGGGAAAGGTTTTTGAAATTCAGTGGTGACAATGCAGATTAGTTTATGTTGGGGGAGAATTCTAAAATGCGAAACTGATTAGAGGCTGTGTGCTCAGGGAGATCATGCTTACGTGGGAAAGAGCAGGGGTCTAGAGGCTGCTCAGTCTCTAGCAATGTATTCTACTCAGGACCAGGGATGTCCAATACAAACATAATGCAAGTCCTGTATGCAAGTTTATTCTCAAGTAGCCACATAAAATGCAAAAAAAAAACCATGAGATTAACTTTAATGATACCATTTATGTAGCCAAATATTATTTCAATGTATAATCAATATAAAAAAATTTGAGATACTCTGTACATTTCTGGGTCTAAGTTCTCATTTGCTGTTTACTTTACATTTATACCCCAATTCAGACTGGCTACATTTCAAGAGCCCAGTGACCATATGTGCTAGTAGCCAGACTCTATCCTGTACTAACTGCTGCCTTTTGTCCATTTTGTAAAACTTTATATAGGTTTGACTAACCCTTGCTGGCTAAGTAAGGCTCTACTTGCCTTTCCTCTGAGGCTACTATCTTCACCCAGGCCCGTATCATAATTATCTATAATTACCTAATTCAACTCAACAGGTCATCATTCCACACCTTCAGAACCTCTTTGTTTTGGAATCGGACTGTCCTCAACAAAGTCCCCTATAATATCATCTCAGAATGGTTCCTGTCCTCTTCTTCCTAAACTGAAGCCAGAGTGAAAACTAACCACACACTACATTCAGAATTTCACTCTAAATTCATGGCTACACATCTCAACTGGCACTTCCCTAACAAGTCCGCTTTCTCCACTTCACAACCCTCTCCCCTTCAGCCTCCAACTGCCATCCCTCCCTACTCCAAGAAGGAACGTGGATGCCAGGTCAGTCCCTTACACCTGTTCTTATTCTCTCTGCACTTCCTTTGTTTTAGTAAGTGGGCTCCTGCTCCTGTCTTCTAGTACGTTGCTGTACTTACCTCCTCTTTCCTTATCTTCTCCTGGTTTCTGGCAGATTCTTCCTGTCACCAGTGAACAGTTCTTGTTTTTAAAGAATCTCCTTTTTGACCATAATTTTCACTGTACCAATCTATTCTTTCTTGTGCTTCAGATAAACAATTTATCTATAGCTACTTTCCCTATTTTTTTTTTTTTTCGCTCTTGGTTCTTTTTTCCACTGTTCCAATTAGCCTCTTCCCTTCCAATCTATTATAACTGTCTTGCCAAGATGTTTGCAGTGTCTGTCTTGTGAAGTTCAATGGTCTGTTCTCCTACTCAGTCTCTGCAGCACTACAGATGACTACTTGCCTCCCTCTTTATAAATGTTTGGTCTTCCATGACCCCATGTTTTTATCATTTCCCCATCTGATAAGATGCTGTTTCTGGGTCACCTCTGCCTGGTGTTCCCAGGGCTTAGACCCAGGCTCACCTCTTGTTCCCTAGGTAATTTGATCTTGTTCCATTCTCTCTCCTGATTCTCCCCTTCTTGTACTCTTGCCCCTCCTCTCATCCTCCAATAGCTTTTCTGAGCAAAGCCTGCTAATCGTGCCTTCAAATTGTAATCTTTTTCTTTAACTTTTCAACTTTACTTTTGTAACCAAAGCATGAGCCACAATGACATCATAGCTATAAATGGCACACTCTCTCGCTGGTCTCCCTGCTTCAACTCTTGCTTTATCTGTGGGTTGCAGACGATTGATTCCTCTTGGTAAAACATGACCAGATACACTACTTCCCTGGTTTTGTTTTTTTTTTGTACCAGAAATCAAATTCACAACCACGTGCTTGCAAGACAGGCGCTTATGCCACTGAGCTAAATCCCCAGCTCCACTTCCTTGTTTAAACTGAACAAAATCCCTCCAATGGCATCCCATGGCACTAGATCATGGCCTTTGAAGCCAGCAGGGCCCAGCCACTGCTCACCAGTCCTTAGCATCTCTCACAGCACTTTACTCACTAACTCCAGCCACACTGGCTCGCTTCTCTTGGAGTAGACTAAGATGACTCCTGTGTCAAGGCCTCCGTATTGGCTCTTCAGACCCTCGTTCCACAAGATCTCTCATTCTTTCTCATCATTTAGTGTCTCATCAAACATTTTCTCCTTAGAGGAACTTTCCCTGATCTAACTAATCCAAACTGAACTAACTAATCCAAAACCCAGATCATATGCATCACTTCACCATTTTAAACAATTTTCTGCAAAGTACTTATCGATCACAACAATTTCAATAGCTGTCTGTCCATTTCCCCATCATTACAAAAGAACAAGGATCAGATTTGCCTTAACTAATGTGTTCTCTGGATGGCCAACAATACTTGGTATACCATAAACACTAAAAATATTAATGTCAAATAAAACAAACTGAAAGTAAAACAATGCAATGAGTCATAGTAAATAAAAACCAGTATTGTACACTGCACAGCATAAGGAACAGCTGCCATCTTTCTCGATGCCCTCATTACTGAGTCCTGCACTAGAAGTTTCCATTTAGCATCCTACAGAGTGCCCTCCTCCCTGAGACTAGAATACAGGTAAAGGCATGACATATTACTACCGACATTTCAGACACTAAGGCCACCCCAAAGAGCTAAACCAAGTCATAGGAAACTAAGAGCCTAGGAGTATGAAAAAAGTAGTGAACAGACTCAGTAAACTAATATGGCTTATTTGATATATGCTAAGATCAAGGATGCTCAGAACTGCTATTTTCACTTAAGTCAAAAATGAAGGTACTTCCAGAGGTATTTTGTTACAAACTGTAGGTCTCCCCAAAATGTACATGGTACAGTGCCAGTATGACTATATGTGGCAATAGAACTTCTGTGAAAATAATTCCAATTAAAAGGTCCTAAAGATGAGATTAGTCCTCTAACGCACAGTTCTCATGTGAACCTGGTGGTCTCTCACCCAATTCTTGCCAAGGAAAGGCCATTTGCAGGGCAGGGAGGGGCCTCACCAGAAGCCAAGCCCCACCACAGTGATGCTCTGCGACTTCCAGCCTTCGGAACCATGAAAAGACAAGTTTCTGTCATTTGAGCCACCCAATTATGGATTTTCTCTAGCAAACTAATATATGGATTATGAATTTTGAGAAATTTCAAATGTAAAAAATGAAAAACCACTGGGTCGATGGTCTACTAAAATTAACATACTATATAGTAAGACAGATTCCTTTTTTAAAAATTTCAATATAAGCACTTATTCTAAAACCTAGTTATAGATGTTCCTGTGTACTGTATGTGTGGAAGACCCATACCTGCTCTTTTTCAAGCATATCAGCCTTTCTCAGTATCTTCATTGCATAAATATGCCCTGTATCTTTTTTCTGGACCAGCCTCACCTAGGAGAAAAATGTATGTTGTAAATGTTAAGCAGTCTAAGCTACTACTTTATACAGTCAAGAGTGAAAAGTAGGTTGATTTAAAGACAGTCACAATTTACCACTTGGATTATCTTAGGAAGTATATTCTAATACATGTTTTTTATTTTATTTTGAAGGTAGTAAAATATAACAGCACAAACAAAGCCAACTGAGACAATGCAGTGAAACTGGAAGAGAACTTCACAGAGGATACTGAGATAACAGCAACAGGTACCATTGTATATCGTGTTATCTTCACAATAGTTGTCCATTCAATTAGGTATAGTAAAATCAAATCAAAAACAGAACACTATAAAACCAATTGAAAGAGAATACTGAATAGAGCAAAACAATCAGACCAAAGCAAAACAGTGAAAACATCATTTGCCTTCAAACAGAAGACTGAAGGAAATCCCCATATCTGCAGTATTGCACAGGGTCATCCTTCCAAGAGACGCTCAGACCTCTAGCCCTAGTTGCTAAGTGGGTGGGGGAAGGTTTGAGTCTCAGCCCATGTGCCAGTAGGCTAACAGCAGACGCTGACTGGTTCTCCTCCTGGCTCGTGCCAGGGGCACTTACCAGGAAGGGAGAAGAATCGCTTTCTTGCTCAGCTGCCTAAGTTCCAACATGGCCCTTAATACATGCTTTAAACTACCGTAAAATACGTATGTTCAACCATGGTAAACTGAAAAGAAGCTCACCTCTCCAAAAGCTCCTCTTCCTATAACTTTCAGAGATTCAAAGTCGTCCAAGCCAAGTCGAGTCCTCTTGAGCCGCAAGAACTCTGTTTCTTTGCGAGCATGTTGTGATCGGCGTAACTTTTTCTATTTAAAGACAATGTAAAAGGATGATCTTGAAGTCAGTTTGTTTAAAGGCATTTAAGAGTACTGAAAATGATACACAGAAAAAGTTATCTATTATACTTGTGCTATAATTTATTTATTAAAGTATTAAGCAGAAAGACAACAATCCTAAGAGAGTATTTTTAACAGTTAACACATCTTTACTCCTGAAGTGGACAACCTAACTAATTCATCATATAGAGATACATATAAAACTCATTCTTTCACTTGTAGGCTAGCTTAATTTACAGTAAGTGAATTAATTAACTCATCATATATATAAAATTAACTCCTGCATCTCTATACTGATTTAATTCATATACAAAAAATCAAACTCTAGAAAATGCTAGTAGTATCCTGATATTGATCTTTACTCTCATCAGGAAATCTACTTTGCTTCAACCCTAATTTCCAAGGTTGCTCTGTTACAATCTGAGACCTGTGACACCAAAAATCATACAATGGTAGTATTTCCATAGATTTAGTTATGGTAGCATTTATAAGTAAATCTTAAGACAGGTTTTAGTCTTAGATAAATTTTAATAAACTGCTAGACACTTGGCACACAACTTCTTGAAAAGCACAGAAAAAATATAACATACCTAAGTTAGTAATTGCACAACTGACTTACATCACAAAAAATGACTACTACTAATGAGCCACATTCTGAAATATGTGAAGGTTTCATTTAGCATACACATTTATTTCATTGTTCTAAACCTTATTTTTCCCTTTCATCAACTATTAATGTTACTGTCTTTATTTTTTTTTCTTCCCTGTGCTAGAAATCAAACCTAGGACCCTGCTCCTTCAGGGCAGGCTCTCTACCACCGAGCTACAGCCCTAGACCTTTTTACTTTTTTCTTTTTAGATAGGGTCAAACTAAGTTGCCCTGGGTGGTCTTGAACGTATGATCCTCCTGCCTTGGCTTCCTAAGTAGCTGGAATCACAGGCATGTACTATCATATGTGGCTTCTAGTTTTTTATATAATTAATTCCTAGAGATAACAGAGATTACTAAAGGAAACAGAGAAATATACTAATTAAACTCTTACTCATCTTCAGCTGAACCTTATAAAGCTTCTAGTGGTTCAGTTCAGAAGGCAAGACAAGTCCAAAGGATCCTAACAGCTCAGAAATACTGCTGCTAAACGCACCTCTAGGTAAAAACCACTGAACTGTCCTTCCTATTTCTGTGTCTATTTTTAAAAGTTAGATTATTAATTAGAAATATGTGCATGTGTATCATCAATACAACAGAATTTTGATACCTCTAGCCAAGTTAATCTAAGAGGATAAAATCAAGAAACTATGTCTTGAAACATAATGAAGTTACATACTCAGTATATCAATAGTAGAAATTACAACAGTGTAAAAATAAGGGTGAGGTGTGTAAATTAAAAAACTTTGCCCAATGTTCTTTTTCAAACTTGATAGTGATTAAAAATACAGTGATATTATGAAAATTCTATTCAACGTATTTTTTTTTAGTAAGTCAGGCAATAAGGGAAATTAGCTAAAATAAAGATATAATAATTATTGCTCTGTTTACACTGAAAAGCTATAGTAAGTAATCTTGTAGCTGTGTACTAGTTTAAAAACAGATTGCCCTAATGATGGGATTAGGGTGGTTTCAATCTTTTAATATCTGTTTAACACAGCTAAAATTATATTCATACAATTACAAAAATAAAGATGGATCCTAACTGTGGACTAATTTTGGCTTTTAACATCAATGGAAAGGCAGCATCCTTTTTGCACATAAGTGTTCAAGAACATCTTCTAAGCAATTTAAAAAGTCTAAAATGATAGTAAAACACACCAAAAGTTCATTTTAAATTTTAAGACTTATTTTAAAAGCCACTGGGTGGCACTATAGTATCATGTCCTTCAAAGTAGTAAAGTGGTAAGTTTTTTTAAATTTCACAAATGAATAAATGTGAGAATTCTGAAAAACTGTTCTAAATCCTTTCATGGGTTCTAAAATAGTACAGCTGCGTGTTTCTGCAGAAACTTTCTACTCTGAATAACAAAGTTTCCCTAGTGTAGGAAATGAATCAAATATATAAAAGTACGTGATAACCATGATTCCCCATTATATGGCCTTGAAGTCTTATAAAATTTTCACTTATTAATTGGAATGGCTTTATACTGGGCTGTTTGATATCATGGCCTGTGATGCAATGAACAGCCACTTTGAAGAAAATAAGACATAATAACAGCTAGTGCCGATTTAATAACATCTTGTCTTAAAGCCACACCAAACTATGGTTCTTCTGTCTCCATTGATTTTATCATGTTGTAACTTGCTGGATTTTATCGTATGTGGTATTAAAATTTAATTTAAAAAAAAAAGATGACCTCATTACATAGAATTATTTTAAAAAGCTTAAAATCTTCAGAAGAGAGTTACCTCCAGCAAAAAAAAAGTTACCTCCAGCAAAAAACGAGCTCACTGAATATCTGATAGGCTTTATAATGCCCCAGGAAGAAATGCCCACATAGTTCTGGACACTGTCACTTAATAATGGGGGATCACAGAGAATGGAACACACAAATTTATAGTTGGAATTACTGTAATACTATTATATTACTTCAAAAGAATCTATGCCATGACTTCGGACAGTGCTGTAATCCAGAGGTAGTTGAAGCAACTTAAGAGAAAATCTATGTAAAGCATATTGATATGTCTGCTCACAATTTTCAGTTTAAGTAGCCTTGAAAGGTAATTAACATCTTTTCCTCTCCAAAGAAGCACCAAAATCTGTGGACATACTTACCTATTTGTTTCGCCTGTGCTGGGAGACAATCCAGGGTTTTGTGTGTGTTAGGAAAGTATGCTACCCCTAAGCCCCATCTCCATTCCTTCATGGCTCTTTTGTAGCTTAAATTTGTCTATTTCAGTTTTCCATTAAGGAAGTAATAGTCCATCTTTCTCTTTCCATTCTATCTTAAGTGGGCATTCCTCAAATTCTTCAGTATGCAGAGTGACCAGTTTTAGGTACAATAGTGCATATTAAAGTTGCAGTATGAAAGGGTTCAGCTAGTAACTTTAACTTGGGATGTAGCTTTACATGAACACAGTATATGGTTTAAAGTTTACACAATTTATTTTCATAAATTATTTCCAAATCATTTTCTATTGTAGAATTAGTGCTAGTTTCATTAAATAGATTTTTATTTTTTGGTTGTTCCAACATACTTTATATTAAGGTTAGAGTATTTGTCTACTGTATAGAATAACACAATCCAGGACCCACCACGGACCTTAATAATAAGCACTTGTAGAATTAAAAATAACTTTTATAGAACAACTTGCAAGTTTTATAAATCAGTATTATAAGCCAGAGACTTTTTAGGGGCAAAATCTTTTCAATATTTTCTACAAATTATTCAGAAGAATTAAAGAAAATAGCTCTGCTTGCACATACAGCTTGCTAATGCAGAACAGCGCGTGAACACAGGAAGCTACAAACTGTATTAAACCTACAGATATACTTGCTTTGGACTGCAACATTTTTTAGGACATTCCAATTGCTAATATTTTTTTAAAAACATGTGATTCACAGAAGAGCCCAATTTCCAGCTCTTCTATTTTTTTTTTTTTTTCTTTTCTTAGTGTACCAGAAATTGAACCCAGGGCCTTCACGAAGAGCTACATACCCTCTCCCCTTTTTAAACAGGGTCTCGCTAAGTCACTACATTGCCCAGGCTGCATGGAACTTGTGATTCTCCTGCTTCAGCCTCCCACAATCCTGGGATTACAGATCTGTATCAAGCTGCCCAGGCAGCTTTTCTTGAAAAACAGGCCCTTAGCACACTGGGCCATAGTGGCCATCACCTTCAGCTTCCACCAAGGATGCCAGTCACCAGGTGAGATGTCTAACTGGGCCAGGCTCCTGTTTTTTACAGTAAAGTGAAAAATGGTAGGTCTTCATTAAGAGAAAAACTGTGAGGCTCAAATATTTTAGAAAAAGAAGGTAAAAGAAGAATTTATTTTGTTGTGGAAGTAAAAAACAAAAATTACAAGCAGGCTGCATGAATAACATACATCTTATTCAAAAGGACAGAACCTAAAATGCCGTCATAAAACCAGCCTGGTCATGATTCTCCCAATACAAAGCCGCATTGGCCTTGCTTGGATACCTCTCCAAAGTCAAATTAAAGTTTTATGTTTACAGTTTCTGTATCAATACAACCCCTGTAATAAGCAGTTACTCGTCATAACCATTACCTTTTTCAATAAAATTTAAAGGGTGTAAATGAAATGAGCTTATAAAATATTATAACTCATTTCATGTTAACTGTAAAAATGTTAATTGTTAATGTTACTTGTAAAAATCTCTATGTTAAAAGTTTGAGTTTTCTAGATTAAATCAGGTGATTAACAAAATAACTACTCTGGTTAAACCATAAAATATTTTTATATCTGCTTTAAACACTGCAACTCTAAAGACAGTACAGACCTAGAAAAAATAAAGAGAAGATTAGAAAACAATCTTGATTTCAAATCATTCGGTGGTCGTCTCTTTAATGAAACCCCTTGCTGATCACTGGAAAATTAATCTACAGTGTCATTCCCAATACCTAGAAAATAAACACTTTTCTTAGTAAACTGCTCTAAACCTAGGTTTTCACTGGTACTGTAAAATTACCCTGAATTTTCTTTACTGTCTCCTTTATACTGCAAATGTAACCCTTTTTTGCAGGGGGTGGGGGTTAGGTGGTAGTGGGGATCGAACTCAGGGCCTTGTGGATGCAAGGCAAGAACTTCACCACTGAGCCATATCCCCAGCCCCTCAAAGGTAATTAGTCATTATTGAGCATATATATTCATTACTTCACATATACCCTTTTTTTTCTTATAACTGGGCATGGAACACTGGGCCTCACGCATGCTAGACAAGCACTCTATAACTGAGCTATAACCTCAGTCTTTTTAAAATTTTACTTTGGCATAGAATATCACTGAGTTGCCTTGGCTGGCCTTGAACTTATGATCTTCCTACACAAGCTTTCTAGGTAGCTGGGGTTACAGACATGCATCACCAGGCCTGGCTCTTCAATACACCTGTTTTGTTTTTGTAATACTAGGGTTGATTCTGGGACCTTTGCACTGATTTTTAGATAGGGTCTTGTTGAACTGTTGGTTTGGCCAGGTTAGGCTCAAACTTGTGATCCTCCTGCCCCAGCCTCCCGACTGCTGGGATTATAGGCACACTCCCTTATACCCACCTAAAAGTCCTTTAATTTTTCTTCTTTTTAAAGGTACTGGGAGTGGAACTCAGAGCCATACACATGAAGTACTCTACCATAGAGCTACATCACCATCCCACTTACTTCTACATAGTAATTACAGGTAATTACATTACCTCTTCATCTGCTAATCCTTCTTCTTCCATAGCCACTTCTAATTTCTTCTGCCTATTCAATGGAAAAAATAATTAGAATTTTAAATACGTATGTTCCTAAATATTCCCATTTCAGAAATACACGTTTTTTAATTCAAGTTAACCTTTCAAGGGCCTCATTAATGCTATGCAAGTGTGCTACCACTGAGCTACACCTCTAGCCCAAAGCTCTACTTCTAGATTACATACTGCCTGCCTAAACAATTTATTGTTATTATAGTTTTCAATGTCTTTAACAGAAGTATGAAAAGTAATGATGCTAAAAGTGTAAGTTTGTAAAGTAGCTATCCCTGTTTGAAACCTGGTCAGAATGCTCACTAGCCAAGAGAGCTTTTGTTAAGTCTGTCACCTTGAGCTCAGTTTTCCTGATCAAGGAACAATGTTCAATGCAATTGTGTATATTTTATTCTGTCAAAATTCAGTGGGAATTGGGAAGTCCTATATACATATAAAAAAATCACTATCAAAACATTTGCTTTTCTACATACAACCATGTGTTTATTTTTTAAAGTAGTATCCATGGAGTGTGTGTGTGTGTGTGTGTGTGTGTGTGTGTGTGTAAAATAACTCATGGCTGGAGAGACAGCTGTGAAATACTTTCTGCAACTTATTTCCATGTAAACAGTATTGCATTTCTATTGTACTATTTTTTCCTGAATGTAAGTCCAGGAGAAGCCTTCCTATTTTATCTTAGAGCACACTAGGATAAGAGTTACACTACCCAATCTGCCTACATGCATGTAAGATTGAAGACCAAAACTATGATACATATATTTTGGTATTTGCTACTTGTGACAACATACTAAAAAGTTAAGATCTTCCCTAAATCATTTTTAAACTCAGTTATTTTTCTTTCTTGTAAAAATTTCATAACAAAAATATCTAAAGCCCACTGTGAAACAGCAGCCCAATGCACAGCCCACTCTTTGACAGTGCAGGTCACAGGTACCCACATTTAACACACTGACGTTCAACCTTATTTTTAGCATTACTTTCCCAGCCCCCAACCCTAAGAACGGAACAGCCCCCCAATACCCTCATCAGAGTGATTTTCTGTGTCCTCTGCATGACATCCCAAGAATAAGAGAATCGTTATTCTGAGAGGACTCTCAATCTATAAGCACCTTTATTCTCTGTCAACCCTCCACTGTCTACCACCCTTCATGCCTCCCAAAGTACACTTCATGACATCACGCTGCATTCTGGGAAGAACAGTAAGTTTTATCCATTTCTACCATATTTGAACAAGATTCACGGATTTTCGTATACAGTTTTTAAGAACAGTTTTCTCTCTAACTGATCTTATAATTTGCTCAGATTAGTACTTTATTAGGCTCATACATTTATCCAATTAGTTAAGACTTAAAAATATGTCACATGCCTTCTTAAAAGTATGCACTGTTAGAAATCTTGAGCTGGTTGGTTAATCTGACTTCCATGGCACCAGACTGAGACTGACTTGTTTTTAAATAAGAGCAGATATTTTTATTTTTACTTTCCTTTGGGAATAAAAGGCAACACTGAGTCATTTTAAAGTCTCAGGAAAAAAAAGACTACAGAAGTTTGAGGAATAACTTATATGCCTGCTTTGACAAAACACAGTACTTTCTTTCCTTGGTCCTCTCCCACTTGAGGCTCCTATGATGATCCAATTGCTTCCAAAGACTTTAATTACATTTATGCATATACATGGTTTTATTTCTAACTTATTTCGTACCTCAATTTTTCAGTTAATTCAGCCTTTGTTTTCTGTTCTTCTGAACTCATTTTTTCCCCCTCATGACATTTTTTCCACTTCACCTTATTTGGAAATTATAAATTATGCATTTTTATTCTTTTAGTAGTACCCTAGAAACTAAATCTTTACTTGTCAAAGCTTGAAGTTCATCTTTATTTCATTTCTTTTCCTTGTTTCTTGTTTTCTTTTGTGAAGATGGTACAGAGATTGAACCCAAGACTCTGTACAGGTTACACAAGCAGTCTAGCCCTAAGCTATATACCCTGTCCTGTTTACTCCCCTTCCACAAGGATGCTTAACAACATTTTAATTCCAATTACTTCTCTCTTGGTGTAAAGTCTACTGCTGGAAAGTATTTTAATTTTATTTTTTAAGATGCATACTCATAGCTTAGCAACACAGTACAAGACAGAATGATCTGCCATCTTCCCTTCCCTCAGGATGGCCCGGTTGACTGGCAGCTGCAGTCACTGCCACTGCTCAGGACCACCAGAGTATTACCAGGGTGGGAAAGGTTCGAACTCCCATGCTCCACTTTCTAGTAGGTACCTATCACTTTTGCATGATTATAAAATTGAAAAATTAAAAGCTGAACAATTGAAGTCACCTGTATAATTTTTGAGATACTTCTATGTGTTTACCATTTAGATTTCCAATTTGTGATCACTTTCCTTCTGTCTAAACTGAACTTTTTGAAACTTCTACTGGGGCTAAACTCTGAGTGCTTGAGTGTCTATGCCCTATTCTCATCCCTCTCTTCCTTTACGAAGTATATTTGCATAGTAGGTGAGTGCTCTTTGACTCAGGAACTTTAATTATAGTAACATGTCTGCTCTTCTCACTGTCCTCTATGTTTCTTAACTTTCATCATTCCCAATGTCTCTCTAAACTGGTTTTCACTAATTCTCTCCTCTGCTAGAGTTAAGTTTGTCTAAAACTTTTTCTTTCATAGTCCTGTTTCACTAAACTGCATCATACTCATCATTCTCAGTTTGGTAAGGCATGACACTCTGGGTGTAGTATAAATTTATTTCTCTTATACTTTGTATTGAGCTAGTTGCCACATTTGCCAATCTTACTTTCAGTTCTTCTGTATTTCTGTCATCAATCCTAACTTAAGCCCTTTCCATTTGCCTGGATATCCCCAGCCTTTCCTGTTTCTAATTCCCCCATATCTTCAAATCTCTTCTATGCATCACAAGGATAGTGCTCTTTCACTTATCTAATTATCTGATCATCTAATTCTTTTGCTTTAAAAGTCTCCAAGGTCTTCCAATATCATGAGAATAGCTACATTAACACAGCACCCAGGGCTCCTACGATATTGAAATTTAGCACATCCTGTGCAATAAGTAAACCAGACCCTGCCTGCCCTGAGGTGATTTCTGCTAATATCCCATATATTTTTTTTTACCTTTTCTTCTTCCCTTTATGCCATGTAAACAGTATTCTTCCTTTAGAGCCTGTTTAAATGCCACTATTATTTAAGAAGTAGTCCCAGTTACCTTAGTCAAAAGCAACCCTCTCCTTCTTCATCCCTGTTGTAGTGATACTCTTCACTCTTTCATGTAATATTTAGGTGCATTACCTCCTTTATCATATTGTAAGTGTCATCAAGGCAAAATAGCATGCCATGCTCATTTTATAGTTTTAATCCATTCCCACTGATATACATACTAACTTGTGCATCTTTGGAGTAAAGGCAGTTATCAGTAATGCATCCCTCTAAAAAATGTATAAAGATATACCATGATTATTACATAGCTGGAAAAGTTTATTTAAAACACCACTAATGTGATAAAAATATGTGTGTGCACAAGACTTCAGATTCCACAAAAAATTATTCTATAACATACAATAAATAACTAGGAGCATGGTAAGTGCAGGAAACTTAAAAAAGCATGCAGGAATCACTTATATACACATTATCAATGGAAAGCACATTTATAGTCCACTCACTACATACTACTTTAATAAAACGTTGATCAGCCTTTCCTATACCTGGTTTCTCTCTCTTCATGTTGTAAAATTAGGTTGCTGTAAAAATTCTCCAATGTGAGCTTGGCTACAGTCACTCTTTCTCGGGTGTGGTTGCTCATAGGAAAGGTTGTTGTGGTCCCTGCCGTCATGGCCATAGTAACAGAAACTGAAATGACATATTAAAAACAAATTACTCAACAGAAAAAAACTGGATCCTTACAAAAAATATGGAAGTATTTATTTTCTATTAAGAAAAATTCTATCTAACAGTTAACACGTCCAAGTCTTGCACATTATATTACAAAGCTAATAAATAGAAAAGATACACTATTCCCAAAGCAAAATCAGGTGTGAGTTACAGTAAAGAATTATCAGGGATAGTCTACATGTAATACACACTTAAACAGAAAAATGCATATTCAATAGCATTCAGAACAAAAAAGATTTAATTCATTTATTGATTTATTGGTTACTAAATGAAAATTGTAAACTGTTGCTAATACTTATAGTTATGTCCATGATAAACGTATCCTCAGAGTTAAAGCAATATACATAGTAAAGAAGTAGCTTCTTTCATATACATTCTATGAAATACAAACTGTGTATTAAAAATGTAATCAAGCACCAATCTAAAGCAACCAGCATTAGCAGGTGCTGTAGGAGACATGAGTGTTAGAAATCAGGCCTTTTTCAAAGGATCATAACTTCCTTCTTCATTTTGAATGAATTTTATAATGCTGTTATTTCAAATAGTACTACAAAAAATTGTTTTAAAAATCTAAAGACATGGATTCCTTGGAATCAGTGTAATAACAACTGGAGGGGCTCAAAGAGAGGCTTCTCCAAATGTGGATAAGGGTGTGAACAGATCCCTCCAGGTAACACTCCACTTGCCAGAGTGATCATCCAAAGCTGCACTGAGCCAAAAGGCACTCCTCATACCTGCACAAACCCACCCCCCAGTACCTCCTCTCTATCTTATTATACAAAGACATAAAGCCCTGGATGTGGACCTGAACTTATTTAGATTCAAGGGATGGTGGAATGAACCAGATGATCTTTCATATTCTCACTGTCAAGCAAGCTAAGTACAGATTGAAATTAAGTAACTATGGTGAGCTCCCAGTTCATACTCCCTTAAGGGTTTATACTCGGTGTACTGCTTGAACACTAACCTGTCATATGTGAAACTGGAATCTATTGTTTTGATATTAGAAACTCCTCATTTGCACATTATTTTAAATCTTTTCATAGCAAGAAGTTGATCATGTCATTTGTTTAAATTCTTTTCACAGATCTTCCTTGCCAAAGCAAGACAAATTAACTTAGCATGATTTTTTTTTTTAAAGTACTTCTCACATATACTTAGTGTATCTCAGGACCTTTCTGATACTTTATACATGATTTCCCTTTCTTCTCGCATGAATTTAAGACAGCAGCATGTTGCATTACAATAGCCCTAACAAAGGGAACTGAAACTCGGGAAAATCCACACAGTTAGTAGACCAGGGATGGCAAACCTTTTAGAGCTTTCAAAGACACAAACAGCCCACTGCAGCACACACGCTACAGGTTCACCATCACTGTATGGGCCATGGAGTCAGGGCTCTAACGTGCCTTCCGAGCTTATGTGCTACATCGCCTCATCACTCTTTTCTCCCAACATCTCCGAGGCCTGTCAATGCCTCCAAGTCCTCTCTTGATCTACCTACCCTGAACAGCATTCTCATTTGCAGAGAGCCTGCAGATCCTTCAGGGCCCAATTTAGGCACTGGTCCTGATCACTTCGGGTGCCCATTCCTCAAGCTAGGAGCAGCTCTGGATAAAAACATTTATTTCCTGGTATGTTTAACATTCACAACAGCACCAACAGCAGACACTAATGAGAAAATAAGACCATCTATCACATGGGGAATTCTGGAGAAAGTTGAAAGAATTAGCAAAACATAAAGTACTCTATAAAGGCTGACCAATAAGCAACTGTGGAAAAGAAATTACCAGTATCACTGAGCTACATCCCAGCCCCCTAGAATCTTTTATATGCTAACACACATTGTAAATCCTCCAAAGGGGGATAAGCATATAATTTGCAGTAAACTTAAGAACTTCCTTTGGGTATATTAAAATTTAGGTTCATAGATATTTCTCTTCGGACACTTTAGTAAACAAGTGCCTATTAATTTCCCCAACAAACATTCACGGCTGGAGGTTCTTGATTGAAAGTTTCAATCAAGAGCAATATCTAAAGATCTTAAAATGACTTGTGATTTTCCCTTCCTTTTTTTCTAGCAGGTAGGTACTCTTGAACAAGGAAATAACCATAAGTTTATGGCTCATAAAAGCCATTTCAAAATGGCTTGCCAGTGCCTAGTAGGAAAAAATGATCAAGATTCAACATTAACTGTTTAGCATCTACATATTCTTTATTAAAAATTAATGTAGTTGGGTGTGGTGGCACACACCTATAATCCCAACACTCTGGGAAAGCCGACAGGAGAACTGCAAGTTCAAGCCTAGCTGGGGCTATGAGGCAATATAGCAAGACCTCCCTTTTCAAAAATAAAAGATGGGGTGGGAGTAGCTGTGGTATGTGGCTTTTGAAAACAGTGCAAAGAAATAAAACCAATAGAGCTATGTGATCATAGGTAATGCTTATAGCAGTAAGAAAGAAGAACGGAGGGAGCTGTTTAGCTGCAGGACCCCTGTAGGACAGCTGCCTTACCCAGCCTATCAAGGGGCAAAGATCAGTCTTCAGTTGCCAGTATCTCAGCAACTGGAGGCCACTTTATCAAATTCTGGAAGCTACTTTATCCTAATTCAGTTCACCAAAAACTAACAAACAAAATAAATCAGCAAAAGGAACAGACACATCTTATGGCAAATGCATTCTACTTTTGTAGGAATTCTTACTTAGGGAAGAGCAAAAACTTTCTCTCTCCATAGAGCACCTTCACAACCCACGGGCTTCTTCCCAACAGTGTTAACTGTCTTTATACAGCGTAGCACATGTGCAGTTTTTGGCCATTACAGGTATACTTTCTGTGGTGAGAGGGATGGGCAGGCAGGATGATAGGTAAGGTCACTTGGTTAAAATTCAGGACCTGAGTGAGGAAACGGTGAAACAATAGAAAGAACAAGTAATTTTGTTCTATGTCCAAATATTTTACTGTTTCAAAAAATGTCACTGGTTAGTGGGAAGGGTCATCTAGCCAGCATGCTTCAGAAGAATTGTAACCAACAAAGAAAGAAACTGAGACCTCCTGGAAGAAACAAACAAGATGGGAAGAAGAAACAACAACAAAAGTCCCCAAGTCCCAACCCTGAGAACATTGACCCAGGACAGGTAAATGCAAAGGAGAACGAGAACAGCAAACATGCAATATCAGACATGGCACCAGTGGAAATACAGAGATATCTTCAGGACATCGTAGACGAATTCAAAAGTGAAATATTTAGCCAAGTAAAGCAAGATATAAAAAGATTAATAAAAGAGATGTTAAGCACCCCTCAAGCAGACACAGACTGAAGGGGGGAACTCAAACAAAGGAAAGAACCATTTGATGAAGAATATAAAAATATAGAATACATAAAGCAGATTCAAAGAGATCACCAGGAAATTAAAAACTCCATTGAAAGCTGGCAAAACTGCTTGAAAGAAACTAAGGATAGATTATCCAAACTGGAGGACAGGTTGGCAATGTGGGATTAGGAAAAGAAAAACTTTTTAAAAGTAACAAGGAAACAAGAAGTAACAATACAAAGTTGAGTATTTGACAAGAGGATCTATAACTTGAGAATAAAGAATGTGAAAGAAGAAGCAGGAGTACAAACAAAGGAAATACAAAGACTATTCACAGAAATAATTAAGGAAAACTTCCCAAACATATGACAAGGAAATGACATTCAGATGTATGAGGCATACAGAACTCCAGCCACTACAACCAAAACAGAGCTATACCTGGACATCTACACCTCAGATAAAAGCAAATTTGGAGGACAACAAAAACTCTGGTCAGCACGCTTTGGAAAGACCCTAAGCAATATGGAGAGAGGCCAAGACACACCAGTATGGAAGAAACCAGAAACATGACAAGAGATAGAAAAAAAAAAAAAAAAACCCTCCAGCAGCCAAACCTGGGAAAATAAGCCGAGGAGAAGTAAATACAGAAGAGAACCAGCACAGTAACCATCCATTACTAGATACAGCATCAGCTGATATAAAGAAATACCTTCATGACCTCATAGACTAATTTAAAACTGTACTTCTGATCCAAGTGAGGCACCATATAAAGAGATTAATTAACGAAATGATAAGCCCCTCCCAAGAGAACACAGATGGAAGAACAGAGGAAATCAGAAAAGAAAGAGAAACCTCTGATGAAGAATTTAAACATAACCTAGAATACATGAAACAGATACAAAGAGATTACCAGAAAACTAAAAACTCCATTGAAAATTGGCAAGATGCCTTGACAGAAACTAAAGTTAGCCTTTTGAAACTTGAAGAGAGATTTATGATCGTGAAACAAAAGACCTCTTACAAATAACGAGGAACCAGAAAGAAACAATTCAAAGGCTAGAATATGACAAAAGGATAAATAACTTAAGAATAAAGCATGTGAGCAAAGAAGCAGGAGCAACCAAAAATGAACTACAAAGAATATTCACAGATATATTAAAGGAAAACTTCCCAAGCATAGGAAAAAGAAATGATATCCAGATAAATAAGGCATACAGAACTCCAGCCACCTACAACCAAAACAGATCTATACCCAGACATATAATAATCAAGATTCCAGAAATCCACCAAAAGAACAGAATACTAAAAGCAGGACTTCCGGGAGAACATGGCAGACAAATAACAGCAGCCACAGAGGCTCTCTGAGATTACCAGTTTAGAATCCAGGAGCGGTGCCGTGTGAGGAGTCCTACACGAGGGGAGATGTACCCTGCCGACCCAGGAATGAACTAAACTGAAAGAAACCAACTGAAAATGCAATCCTGATGCTATAACAGAACAGATAAAATCTCAGTGCGGAAGCTGGATCCCACGCCACTGGAAGCTGCAATTTGAATTTCGTGCTGCCGCTACTGCATCCCAATCCGCACGGCAGGGAGAGAGACGCGCGAAAACTCTGAGAGCTGGAATCAGCGAACCAAATGGTG